ACTTACTAGCTGATGGGTTTGTCTGGGACAAAACTCCTGATCCTGCAGATAGATGATGGGGGCTGGAGATGCTCTGTCCTAGCTGCCTGCATCACCCATACCTGTTCTTTCTGGGACCATGGGGAGGAGGGTAATCCTTTTGTTCCTTCCTTTGAGCTGCTGGACGCTCAACAGGACCCTCATGAACAGGCTCCCTGGTGACCTTCCACCCAGCCTCTGATAGGCAAGCCATTTAAACGGTCCTAAGAGGATAACAGATCTGATGGAGGTCAGCTGACGACTGGGAAAGCAGGAGAACCTGGGTGGTGGCAACTTGCTGAGCACCTTGGGAAGGTCCTTCAGCTTCTGACCAAGGCAAGCTCGGAGAGGCTTTAAGAGCCCAGTTCCCACAGTTTTCCAAGTTAAAGCCTGGAGAAGGCCCCCCCAGCCTTTCCATCCCTTCTCTATAGCTCCATGGCTTTCAAAATCCATAGCAAAGAACCGCTGATGTGGAACAGAACACAGGCTTTTGTGTGATCTTTATGCAGCTCTAGTCAGACCTGGCTTCCGAGGGTACTGGGCATGTGCACCACAGAGCCGCTCTAGGGACTACCCCCAAACAGAGAGAGAACATGATCCATGGTAGACACATTCCAGTTGCAATCCTTAGCCTGCTGCCGTCACTCACAGGGGAAAAAGTTGTGATTTTTCTGGGGTTTCCCTTAAGGCCACTTGTTGTAGAGGTTTGGGCCATATGTGCACATGAATCTACAGGTGCCTGGTCTCTGTGCATGACCTCCAAGCATGATCTCCCACAAACGCAGGTATGGTACCAGACTCGAGTCTTCATCTCTAAATCGTGCCCATAAGGTTGCAAAGATTAAAGAAAGCCTACAGTGGCCTTACAGGCTCTCTGTCAGTGATATGGCTCAGGGCTTAAGAGCACTGGCTGCTTTCTCTAAGAGATCCTGGGTTCAGTTCCCGGTACCCACATGGCAGTGCACAGCTGTCTACATCTGTAGTATCATGGGACCCAAATCACTCTTCTGGTGGGCAGACAGAGAAGCTGACAAATCACCCACTGCATAAAATAAATAAATCTTTAAAAAAAATAAAAAAAACCCACTAGATTCAGGGGTGCTGGCTCTCTGACAGAACATCAATTGGAAGACAGATTTACAAAAATTTAGAAAGGTAGAGAAAATGCTCACCGATTCCCAGAATCAGAACAATGGCAAACAGTCAAAATGGGCCAAATTCTAAGAATCTGGAAGGGAACAGGTAGGGGATGAGTGGACGGAGAGTGCTCACAGTTAGTTTTGTAAAGAAGAAGCGTGAAATTACTCAGTTCTCACCCTGTGCGTGTCATCCTGGGTAAGATCAACTCAGGGCCTCACTGGCAGGTTTAGCAAGTCAGAGAAGTAAGGATTCTGGAAGGCGGCTTTGGAAGGTGCAAGGTCAGGAAGGTTGAAGCAAATGTGCAGGGGAGTTGAGGTGAGCATGACCAGAGGCCCCAGGGTGCTGGTAAAACCCTGCACTCCCAGCACCCTAGAGGTGGAGGCAGCAGGACCAGAGTTCAGGGTCATCCTCAGCTAATTAGTGAGTAACCAGGTGATCAACCAAACTATACTTCATGTCAAACATAAGCTACAATTGCCGATCCCAGATAGTAAATGCCACGTTACCTCCATGCTTGGCTAAGATCAATAATGTTAAGGTCCTAGGTTGATTCTCTTTTTGAAATCTGATGTAAATGGGCTACCATGACCTAAAAAATAATTTAAGATTATTAGAATACTAATGCTTTTTTAAAAAAAAAAAAAAAGTACTGCAGAGGGGGAAATGGTCTTAATTTTTCTAGAAGAGCACAAGAAGTCAATATTGTGGATACTGTGGTGGCCACATCAGTACTCAGGGGATCACTTGAGTTTGAAGCCATCCTATTCTTCATAGTGAGGTCTCGGTCAGACGGGGATACACAGAAAAGCCCTATCTCAAAGACAAAAAACAAAACCCCAGCAATTTATTTTCAGCACAGTTGAAAATTTGTAAGAAGCTGGCTCAATAGTGTTTCTTAAGAGTGCTTTAAGCACCCGTTTCTGTTTAGCAAGCTACAGGGAGACGTGGAGGCAGCAGACAGAATTCTTGGTTCTCTAGGATGATGAGACAGTTCCATGTTTCCTCCATCAAGTCCTACTAAAGTAGAAAAGACAGAGAATTCTGGAAATGCTTGACTTAGATTTTTACTAAAATAAAATATCATTTACTAGCTTTCAATATAAACAAGAACAACAAAATACCACCATAAAGCACCAAGTGCCAGGGCTGGAGAGAGAGATGGTATGTCAGCTAAGACCCCTTAAGTGCTCTTGCAGAGGACCAAGTCTAGCTTCCAGTGTCCGCACCAGGCAGTTCACAAGTACCTGTAACTTCAGCCCCAAGGTACCTGAAACCTCTAACCCTCGTGGGCACTGAGCTCACACACACACATAATGAAAACTAAACCTAAAAGCACCAATAGTTTAGAGAATTCCTTGGACTTCTCTTCTGTAGTCAGATAAAAGAGAGGAGATGAAGATGGTGGGGTGCAGACAGAGAGGTGAGGCATGAGGTAAGATTTAAAAAAAGGGAGGAAGTAAGGGCGAAGACCACAGACGAAATGTCTACAGACTTAGAGCCTAAGAAAGAGAAAGAGGGCAGATGTTCAAGGGAACAAAACGGCCCTTTCCTGGCCCTGTGTATCCTTGCTGAGAGTGTAGCATCTGAGTCATGAAACTCAGGTCTGGATGGCACGAGGCTTCTCCAGCCTTACTCTGACCCTCTCTGATCTACCCTGGGCGTATGGAATAGGTTAGAGTGAACTGAGCCAATCAGGGCAGGGTGGATGGACAGGGTCAGGACCATGTGGGGTCTGATAGCAGGGAGAGTGAACGCCTGCAGTCCACTTCTTCCTTCCTTGTTGGTTCTTGTTCAAGATCAGAAGGCGCTTGTCTGTGCAAAAATCTGAACCGTCCCTGTGAATCCTTTTAAGAGTCTATCTGGGGGCTGAGGAGACTCAGGAGGAGGCTCAGTGGGTGAGGTCTTTCTGCACAAGTATGAGGAACTGAATCCAGACTCTGAGCACCCATGTAAAAGCTGGGTGCCGTAAGCTGTGGCATCCCCAGGGCTGGGGAGATAGTTGTGAAGACAGGTGTCGGGGGTGGGTGTCTGCTGTGTCTGCTGGCCAGCTAGTCTAGCAAATGGGCAAACTCCAGGCTCAGTGAGAGAAGACCTCTCAAAAACTAAGGTAGAGAATAAGAGAGGATGATGCCTGATACTGACGCCTGACCTCTACATGTGTGCACACCAGTGTGCACAGCAGCACAAAACCCACACACAGACAGCCAGACATCACACACACACAGCATGCGCACACACACACACACACACACACACACACACACACACATCATGTCCAGTCTTTCATTGGTGCAAATGTTCACTGTTACCCTGAAGAAAGCGTATTTGCACTATTTTATGGAAGAGCGGTGGTCACAGCTTTATAACCACCTTGGATATGAGTGATTTCCAAACAGATCTGACTATAAGATAGATAAATTTAAGAAAGTGTTCAGATGCGGGGAGATATACATACAGAGTAAAGCTATTTGGATTATACTACCTTTAAGAATCGGCTTTAACGAATCATATAAAGATGAAGTCAACAAGTTAAAGTTACCAGACAACCTATGCAAAATGAAAATGAAAACAAAGCAAAACTAACAAAATAAAAAACCCTCCTATCCCTTAATGTAGGACTGGCCCTTTGCCTCTAAAAACAAGGCGAGTTAAGAGCAGCATGGGAATTCGACTACCGTGTTTTAAATGTGTTTTTCTTTTTTTAATTGTAACTTAAAGAGTGTATCAAATTTGCCGCAAGCCATTGGTACACTCAGATTTCCTAGGGCTGGGCTTTTTGGAGTGGCTATTACGGCATATAGCTCTGGAAACTCTAAACGAACAGGGACACAAAGGGAAAAACAGTTACCGGGAATGGCAGGAACTCGTTTCCGCCCCATCTTTCATTTTGACCCGGATTCACTGGGCACTACTCAGATTGTTGTTCAGAAATAGACAGGAAAGGCTGTGGGTGGTGGGACGGGTGGCTGGGCGGGGATGGGGACATACTGTCATCTATTAGCCGTTCGGTTCTTTCAGCCGACAAAGACAACAAGCCAATCTTTAGAAGGTTTATTTGATCTGTGTGAAAGAGTGGCCGTGAGCTTTCTGGCACTTGAACAAGCAGGAACTGTATTTTTGGGTGGAGAGATTTCTCCCCGAGTTCTCTCGGGGCGCCTTCAAGAGAGCCATCTGGATGGGACGGTATTTCTTTTGTATAGCTCCGCATTCTGAAGCATCAAGGAAAGGTGCAGCGGTGGTACCTAAGGAAAGCACTTCTCTCCGTAGTTGGGAGGGGATGATTTGGTGCAGCTGGCTGCTTTTGAGATAAAAAGGAACCAACCACCTTCTCCTTTCTGCTCTAATGAGAGAGTTCTTGTAACTGATATTCCCCACATTGGAAGTGTTTACCAATGTCGGCTCAAGAGTCTGAGCTACTACTGCGCCTTCCTGAGAGAAACAGGAACGTTCCAGTTCCGTGTCATATTTACGATCCTCACGTCACTGCTGACCTCACCTTTGACCTTTGTAATTGTTAATGGGATCTAGATCCTGAATGAGAGCCCCCCCCCCCCAATGCTTAGTCAGCTCGTGATGCCGACATGAATGAAGACTGCTAAAAACGTTCAAACAAAATCCTTCCAAGCTGACCCGATGCACTCAGGGCCATGACGAGATTAAAGAGAAAGAGGGATCGCCTGGAAAACTGAATCAAACTCAGGGCTGCAGCCAGACACCGCAAGAATATGTCTGTTCTAACAAAGAACCTCAAAAGCTCATCCTAAGTACATATTTTGCTAGTCTTCTGTACTTTTTCACACTAGGAAGAAGTGGTAACTCTTATGCAAAGGTTTCTTTTGGCTGTACTTGCTCCGGCAGTACGTATACTAAAACTGTAAAGATGCAGAGATTAGCATCACCCTTGCGCAAGGAAGACAGTCAAATTCCTGAAGCATCCCATATTTCTACAAGTTCAAAAGATTCCCTTTGGTCGGTGATCATTTCAGAAAAGCAATGGGCTGTTTCTTTGAGCTGTCATCTTTGTCTAGTAAGCAATGAACAAGAAGAAAGACTTAGCAGCAACATTATAATACAGATGGAAAAAACATGCAGGATCAAATACGCTTTTATATATTGCACGAATACATATGTGATAGGTGCCTAATTCTCTGTAATTAACAGCTTCTGAAATCCCAACAAATAAGGATTTGCGAAGTTTCCACTGTAATTATCTAGTTTTCACATTATGTAAAATTCTTACTGGATTAAAAACAAGAAAACCATGTTTCTTCGTTAAGCCAACACTAAATCAAGTTCTGAATGGAGAATTTCCAGTGATATTTTAAAAACCATCACTATGGAAAAGTAATTGACTTTATATAAGCATTTGATAAAAATTATTGGATATATATAAGAGAATAATTTGAAAGAAAATCCTTTATACATCCCAAGCAAATCATATGAAAATGGTTTATGGCAGCTGAAGTATTTTACCAGGTAATTGCCAGAAGAACTAAGGTGCAGTTGTCTCTCAGAATGCATTTTTCTGGAACGAAGGGGGCATCTGTCTGGTTAATAATGGAGGTGAACATGTCAGCTAAATGACAAATATTTTACTTCCTGAGAATTAAAACAGGAATAGAGCTTATGCTGAAAGAGCTTTTCCTAACAGATCCGAATAAGAGAGACCGAGCTACGGTTCCAAATATCAGTGTCTTGCTCCCGATCTTATTACCAGGGGGCCTCTGTCAGGTAAGAGTACTCAGTGTACCTGTCGAACACTAAGAGACGAGGCGGAGGAAGTATCATTATATTTCTAAGGTAAACTGTTTCCCCATGTTCTCATTATAAGCGCATAAGAGTTGATTTCCATGGAACTTCTAACAGAAAAGGACCCTGAGTGATCAAAGCCTGCGCCCCAACAACTCACCTGCCCGGGACATAGCCTTCCCGTGATGGCTGCCATTTAGAAACAGGGAGAAAAAGTAGGACTTTCACTATCTTATCACTTTAGAAAACATAAATGACCCGGTATGAACTGCCAACCCCAGCCACGCTTCGGTCTCCAAACAGAAAGGACGCAATTGAGGGCCAGGGGTGGGAGAAGAGGCAAAGCTACATCACACTGCCTTCTTGGACCGTTTCTCCTTAGAGGAATTAATTAAATGAAATTTTCATCAGAGGAGAGGAGCAGGGCCTCAGGGAAATTCATGAACACCTCACCAGGACGCAAGCCATCTATTTCCCATCCTTGGGAGTCATCTGTGTTTGGACAAAATATGCGGGGGTTCGTATTTTTCATAAATGGCACACATTGGAACTAAAACAGATTAGATGTTTGTTGGAGGTGATATTTCCTACAACTGGGTACTTATTTATCTAAGATCTCTGCCAAAAGAACCCACACGATTTAAACCGCAAGAACCCGTCAAGATCCAGAGGCGCCTACCTGCGATCCCTGTGTTTGAGGCCAGCCGGTTTACAGGCTCGGTGAAAGAATCATGCTAACCGGATAAAATAACCATATGTCCCTACTGGAGGCTCCATTACTTGAGTCATTTAAACCTCGCTGGACAAAAAGCACCAGGCCCATTTGCTGTAGGAAACAACCCTCCACAAAATGGACATGGAAGAAATGACCTAATAGGCAATGCCCTCTGCTCCAGTTTCTATGGTTCTGTGTTAAGAAAAGCTGGCCTGCCACACTTTTGTGAAAGCTTGTACCCCAATTATACCCCAACAAGAGGGCCACTGCTTATTTGGAGAATGAAAAGAAAACAGCCCAGAACTTAACATTTACATCGCCATTATCAAAGTTGTGGGCAATTTCCCCTAAGGAATAATATTTTCAAAATATAATGGAAAAGAGGGATTGCTGCCTTCATTTGGGAACCCAACTGGCGGGAAAGGGGGGTTTCTGGTCTTACTTCTGTTTGGGAGCTAGTGAAACGGAGGAAAGGGTTCAGGTGAAACAATTCACGGAGGCAGAGCCAGCCCACACTGGATCTGTGTGCCATCTCAAGGCAACATGTTCTGCCTCAGTTTCCCCTTTCAATAAGTGGTGATCGCTTGCACATTGCCAGCTGGCATGAGGCAGAACTGAGGGAAGTGTGTGTGTGTGTGTGTGTGTGTGTGTGTGTGTGAACGGGCAGATGTGTGAGAGGGATGTGGATGGAGTTGTTTGTGTCAGTGAAGGAGTACAAGGATTTTCTTTCTATGCAAATATGCTCATTTCCAGGCAAGCTTCATTTTGGGTTGAAATGTGTAAACAGAAATAAAGTACGATGCCAACTTAAAATTAATTTTTCTGTGAAATGCAGAATATTTTTGATGGTCACCATTGATATGAAATTTTTAAAAAATGCTATGTATCATTAAACTGGTGTAATGTCCAAATGGGATCGTTTCTAGATTCTAGATCCTAGAACTTCAGGCTTTGTATATTAAGTATGAATCTGTACGAACGTGGCGGGGGGGGGGGGGGCATATGCCTGTTCATGGTTGAAGGCAGACTTCTGTAGGCAATGACCTACTTAATATTGTTACCCACTTGAACAAGTGTTGTGATGTTCAGGTGTCCTTGGTGCCAGGGAACGTGCAAAGGACACTTCTCGTACGACTGTCCCAGGTCCGCCACTGAAAACCAGCTTGTGCCTCTCCTCTGCTGTCTTTCTATCTATTTATTTAACACCCAGGACTTTCGCATTCTTTCTCTCCTAAGCAATTCTGTACGGGAGGCAAGACAACGCCATTCCTTACAGAAGGCTCGGGCTGAGGTGAGAGATTAGATTATCTCTAGGACAGTTTTATAAATGCAACTCCCTCCCATCCCTCTGAAAAAGAGGCAAACGGTATTACTGCAAATAACCTTTGAGATAATTAACCGACAATGCATAAACCTTCCTTCAGGCGACACCTAATTTAAGTGTTACTGGCACAAAGTGGGGACAGATTGCGCATTACCACCGCAATATTTACACAGCAGAAACCCACGGAGCGGGAAACGCAGGCTCAATGAAGCACTAAATTAGAACAACCGCACTCAGTGTTAATTTGCCTTCCGTTCTTTCCAAACCTCAGGTCCAGAAATCAGTACAAATCCATCTACACCTCCCACCCTAAATGACTAAACCTGAGGAGACAGTAGTACTTCTTTTTTCTAGTCCCCCCCCCAACTATAATAACGTGAAATTTATTTCTTTCCTCTATGAGAGCCATGTGGCCAAACTGTGTTTATGTCGTTACGATGCACTCACACCTTGGTCTGAAATTATTTTCATACAAGCGCTGCTCGGAAGACCGCACAGGAGGAACTAACAAGACTTAACTTTTTCTAAGGCTGCCAACACAGCGTACAGACAAGATACAGATTAGTGAGATACAGTTTAGGAAAAGGGACTTTTCTCAAGGATAAATGTTATTTCCATCTCCCATTTCCCCTTCCTTCTGCCACACACAATGACTTTTCCTTAAGCTTCATAGGTACTACTTTCCCTCATCCCTGCCCACCGTATTTTAAACTCCAGCATCACTAAGGCACTGACAAAACATTTACCTTTCCCAGTTGCTGGTGCTCTTTGAAGGCGGCGATCAGCTCTTCAGCCCACTGAATTTTTTCCAGGGTTGGAGTAAACTGTTCTTGTACCACCGCAATCTGGTTAGGGTGGATCACCTGTTTACCTGCAAGGAGAGGAACCACACTGAAGGCTCGGGGACAGACACCTCATACAAACTAAGTGTGTCCAGCTTGGAACACCCCTGGATGCCTCACAGAGTGGGTGCTGGAGAACAGAAACAGTACAAAATAAAACCCACAGTCAGACAAGCTTTTCCAGAAAACCATGTAGGAACAAATACCAGTATGGGGAAAACAGCACTCGGCGGCTGGACGAGGCAGCTTGTTGAATAACTACTTTGCCTGTGATTTTTAACTGGAGAATATATCTGTAAATTATCCATTATCTTGAGTAGAATGAAATTAAATGAGAATTCTCTCAAATTGTATAAGCTGTCTCTCCTGCTTGTGTGGGAGGATTGTGTTGCTTCCTATAGTTCTTACACCAACCACGTGTCAATTATTAAGCTTCTCCACAGATGTTATGACCATATTAATACCAAACACTACCTTACGATAATCTGTGTAATTTTCTTTCTGAGCATGTCATTTTTAACATGTGCATTTTATTGAAAATGTATCTAGAGTTGTAACATAAGAGGCGAATTTGAATACTGTGGCACCTAGATAATTTAAAAAATTTTTAAATAAAAAGACTACAGAAAATTTAGCTTCCAAAAATATATTCAGAGCTTCCCTTTTTTCTTATAGTATGAGAGTTGGTTAGTCTTCAAATTACAAGAAATTGTATCTATGTAGAAATACCTTCAAAAAAAATCTCTGATTCTTTTTGAAGTTTAAGGATTTTAAATAAAAGCATCAGCTATACACAGGTCTCAAAGGATTCTATGCAATCAACACTGTTAATAAAACACCCTCAATTTACCAATTGGGGAAGTATGGTATTTAATCAGGTCATTAATAAAATGCAATATAATTTAATGTCACAGTGATGAGATTATGCTGCATTACATGATAAAGTTATGAACACAAATTGCCCCTTTAAAACTGATGGACATGTAATGGCTGCTAACTGTATCTCTTGCCACATTAATTTGCTTTGCTTTTGAAACAGTAATTGTAACCATTACAATTACAGCCCAGATGTTTTATAAAACACCAGTTTCTGTTACTACCCTTATTCTGTGGAGTAGCTAAAGGAACAATGTTTGTAAAAATAGTCAAAGAGGGATTTTTTCTTTTGTGATAATGTCTCAGTAGTTGACTAGATAATATGTTTCAGGCCCTGGCAGAGTTGAAGCATTCCATGTTACCATTGCATTCCTGCCTGTCAGTGCCAAGGGAAAATGTTAGGCACCTATGCAAATAAAGGTACTTCAAACTATCGGAGGACTAATTTTTGGAGACAAAATAACAGGAGCTACAAATTTGAACGCTTTTCAAATAGTAGGTATTCATTCCACATTTAATTAATTTAATAGTTGTAATAATATTATTTAAAAAGCTTGTCAGCGCCCAGTAGTCGTTTCCTAATTGTTAGCCTGGGATTTTATAATTTATGTACATAATTTACACTGCTGTGCAAAAAGGCAAATTTCACGGAAACTTTTGGGACAAGCAATGTAACGTGAAGAGCAAACAACCAGCTCGCTAGATTCTCGTGGAATCTCCCAACAGCTGGGAACTACCTATATTTGAATAAGAGGTCACTGTGAAGGTCTATGCTGGGTTTTTACAGTGTACGTACACTGGCATGCCAAGGCCACTTTCATCACTGCATACATTCCGATGTATAGCGGGCTTTACTGCAGTGTGGGAACGAAGCAAATATTTTATCCAGAAGGCTTGTTATTGACAAGGTACCAAGAGGGTGCAAAATTGGACAGCATTAAAATTTATGACCGTGAGATCCTTTTTACAGGGACGACTTGATAGATCTTGCTTTAAATCAATACCTGTCAAGTCTTTTAGGTAACTGTATGATGGTGTCATTTCTGTATTCTACAAAAGAGGCAAAAAAAAAAAAAAAACGGAAAAAAGAAAACGAGAAAAAAAAAACCTATATTGCTTTTCATATTTATAATCTTGCCTCATAGCATGTAGTACCATAGTAACTGCAATGGCTAAGGGAGTGGGGAAGGCATTCTCCCAAGTTTTAGTTTGGGTGTCTTTTTATTACTTAAAAAAAAAATCCTAAAGTTAATGGCTATGCCAACCAACGGATTGATTTTAGATCAGTCAATGTGAGTGGGGACCCCATGCAGTAACAACAGCAAAATACAAACTACAGCCCACTGTTTGGTGTGATGGTAACTTCTTTTGGAGGGAGGAAATGGGAGAAATGATATAGTTTTGTTACATTCTCCTAAAATAAAACTAAATACGTGTGTGGACACATTTAAATTTTTGCTTTAAAGTATAGACAACCTGGCCTGTACCCGTGTTACGTACAGTTGGTGACAATATTTCGTCTTCTCCCCTCCCTCCCTTTCATCTTCTGTTTCTTCTTTCCCTTCCTTACACAAGGCTAAGGTATCACAACTAAACCCCAAAACCTAGTACTCTAAGATAAGGGTAGCATAAAATATTCAGTGAGAGCATGAGTTTAAAAAAACGCTATACGTAGTCTCTTCTGACCACCTTTTATTAGTATGTAGAAATATAGTCGTGGCAACAAAGAGCTCTTCTCTCAAAATCAGTAAGTATGAACGGAGTGTGGCCCCCAGCTTCCAGCTTCTGTCACTTGGATGCACAATGGGCACCGTGCCCTCGGTGCCTCCCTGCACCCTGGCCTCCATCTTCCTGTGATTAAATACTCCCCGTTGGGCAGAAACAATAGTGCCAGGTCCATAAGTTCTTCGTGCTGAGTTGGGCACAGTCTAGACATTTAAACCAGATTTGAAATAGCTTGTCTTTTGAGACTGAATTTGGGACCAATTTAATTCAGTTCTGTATCTTGAGAAACCTTTGAGCCCCAGAGGAAGCTGGAAAAACATCAACCCAAGAACATGAAGGGCTGGTGGCTGAGGCCAGGGCGCTCTTTCCTACTGAATTTGCTCTCACTTCAGAGCAACATCTGGCTGCCTGGCAGCTAATGGCACATGTTACAGGCCAACAATATCAGGGTCTTTTAGATAGATTTCATGGAATTCTTTTTCCAGCTTTCCCATTTGGGCCTCATCCTAACTGGCCACTGGAAGGAGGCAAGGACAGGCATGCCCCGTGCGCTGATTAGCAGGGGGATTCCCCCTCCCCCGTCTATATTAAATATAAGGAGAAAATACTAATAGTTGAAATCATTGGACAACACTTCTATGCATGGGATCGTACGCTCTTAAGCTTAAAAAATTAGGCATCAGGTTTATTTTAGTATCTGCTAGATACAAAACAGATGTCAGGATTATTTTATTCTAAAATAGCCATAGTGTTCCTTAGGCCTTTCTATTTTGTTTCAGGATAAGAGATCCTCTGCTAATACACCTTTTTTCATTTCAAGGCATGTTATGAGACTTTCAGCTAAATTCTGACTAGGTATAGTACCAAAATATCTTTAAAAGGGAATAACATTTTTTCCTCCCTTCCTTCTCTCCTCCTCCTTGCTGGGTATATTTATAGCTATCAATCTTAGCACTTTCACTGTAAGGATAAACAAGAGAAAGAGAGAATACGTGTGTGTGTGTGTGAAAACACTCATGTGCACGTTTGCATGCAACTGCACAGGATTATTTATGCATAAGAATTCTACTAAGGTTTTCAAAAGACAGAGTTCTGTTTGCAGAACGTGATTTTCAGTTGTTCCTTGGACTCCTGAGGACAGGAGCGACGAGCACACTGATGACTGTCAGTGCCTGCCTGTACCCCATGCAGGCCTGCGAGGGACTCATGGACCCAGTGCCAGTCCGTACCCATAGACGTTGGCAGGTATGCAGACACTTATTGAGAGAGGAAAGGGGCTTGAAGTATCCAGAAATTTTTTAAAAAGCAGCTATAAGTAAAAATCAAATCACAGGCAATATCATCAATTAAAGATGAATTAATACTTTAACTATTTTAGGAACATTTTCTTATGTTACATCAATCTAAATTTCTGACAGTTATTCACTCTGAAACCCTCCCATAATGGCCTCATCCCTGGCCTGGGTCAGTTCAAATTACACTGAAATACTTAGTAAGATGTTGGAGGGAGTAACAAATGCAAAGAAAAAAACTGAAACGAGTGTTATGTTTTATAATTTGCAGAGAGAGAGCAAGCCACCCACCACCAGCCCAGCTAGTGATTATGTGCTTTCTGCTCTGTGCACCGTCTCGTGTTACAGGTCATGCGGTGAGCAGACATCTCTTTTTCCTGGGATGCCTGCTAATGTACGCACTTAAGACAGCACCAGGCATCGTACCAGTGAAGCCCATAGCGGCGGCCTCTCTTGACTGCTTGAGAAGCCCATCTCCATCTCGGAAGTCAATGTACACAAGATCTATGGCTTGTAGGCCAAAGGCCTTCGCTATGACGACAATCTTCTGCCGGGCATAGAGGATGTCTTGGGTGTCCTTGTTGCTTGTTGCACCTGTTAAGTGGAATATGCACAGAAAAGTGAGACTTTGCCCTTGGAAGCAAACCCAGACACACGTACTATAGGAACCAGGTTATAAAGGCGTTTCCCTGGGGACTGCATCCCAGAAAAGCAATTATTAATACGCACAGGAAGACAGGTGTATGGGGAAGGAATGTTGAATGGCGCACGTGTCTAGTGAACTGGCACGCTTTTCAATATAATCACTGGAACATGCGCCGGGAAAAGGCCCCTCCTCCGTACCCGGAGGTGGAAGTGGGGTCACAGCGACCTGATTCTCCTCTGTGTTATCACTTGGAGAGTGTCAGGCCAAACACAGAACTGCACGTATCTGGGAGGCCACGTGTGGGGAAGTGGCTCACTTCTTAGGAATGGCACGGGCTGTCTTGTCACATCTGTCCTCAAAGACGTCCTGAGCCTGCGCTCTGGGGTTTGGTTGGAGCACTTGGGAAATGAGAAAGACTCTCATTTTGGGAGAGGCAGAAAGCGCCCGTCTACCTCTTGTAGTACACTTAGCTGCGGGGCACAGGAGAGTCTCCTGAGAAGACCTGTGTCAACATAAAATTTTCTTTTTCACCCTGAGGGGAGGGAGTGTGTCACTGGTTAAAGTTGGGCTACAATACTAGGAAAAGTGTCCCCAGAACCCAGGGATGTGGGTCTGAAGATGCTTTTTGTAATGTTGGCCTCCAGGCTCCAACCGTGGAAACGCCCAGATAAGAGTGCAGTGCGCAAGGAGAGAAACACATCACTGGGCAATGGCTGGGGCCAGGAAATGTTTAACAACAAATGTTCTGAAATATACACTAAGGCAAATTTATAATCTATCTTAAAAAATATTTGCCTACTACATTTAATGTAGAAGACACTGTATTGAGGCCAACGGGATTGGAGGCCCAGATCCTGGACTGACGTGAGGACAAAGTGTTCAAGCCAGCATCGGGCTTTTGCTGCTAGTAGAAGCCAAGTAGACCCCTTATGTTCCTGAGCATGCCTGAGGCTGCAAGGGGCTTTTATTAGTTACTTTATAAGTGAGCGGACATAATGACGCAGGACTCTGGGAGCAGGAAATGGAGCCCTAAGTTATCGGGAAGTGGTGGTCAGTGAGTTGTCATGAAAAAAGCCATGGTCAGGACTGGGAAATATGCATTCTTATGCAAATGTCCCTTCGTGAGGGGGCAAAGAAAAAATCACACACACACACACACACAGGGTGGGGTAGGGCTAAGGGAGAGAGAGAGAGAGATCTTCAACACCTATGCTGGCTCGGAAATCTTCTCCTCCGAAAACGACTGCATCTAGGAACAGACCCACTTGAGGCCCAACCTTCAGGGTCTCTTCACACACTGCCTGGAAAAGAACACGACAGGGCCTCAGAGGCTGGGAGCCAGTGCACCAGCGATACAAAAGATCTGGATGCTAACACAGTTTGGCTGAAACAAACTGAGCCCTTCCCCAAAGCTTTAGTGTTCCCTGGATGAGTACCTCATACACGTTTGCTCCGCCTGGTGTTTACATTATAGAGCCATCACTATTTATTACATAGCTAGAATGCTCAAATTAAGAGGCCACCCAATCTTCTAGACGACTTTGAGTGAACTTTTTTTAGCTTCTATTATAAGTAACTTATGTCTCTCCAGAATTTGTTTTTGCTTTAAGTGACAATTAAGTAGTAAACATAAAGCCACAGGAGAAGGGGAAGAATTTTTGAAATCCAACTAATTGAATTATTTGCATTAGGGTCAAGTAAAACGGTTTCAGGCTTAAAGTCAGGCAGTGCAAAACCTACAACTTCGAAGGGGGAAACGCTACGGGTCACCCAGGGAGTGGAACAAAGCAACTCTGACACGTCCAGACGAAAATAAAGACGAATCACGTTCGCGGGAGGTGGAACTGTGGGTCTTGGGCCTGCGAAGTGCTACCATTTGTGTGGGTGGGAACGCGATGAAGGAAGTGGTGGGGATACTGTTGATTAATTTCAGGCCTTGTGGGAGTGCCTAAATACATTACTGAATAAAATGGCAAAATTGTGGTTTGAAATTAAATCACTGTTCATATCTGATTCCAGCTAAGGGGTGTATGTGCTCCTGATTGTGCTCTGGGGGTACTAGGGTGGGCTGCGGCACTCTGTGGTTATTTGTATAAAGGAGTTAGTCACAAGACAGGCGTGAAGCAGCCCCCCAAAATTTGCACTCGGCCCTCCTGCACGCCCCTGTAGGTCTGTAAAACTCCCCGAGCATCTGCTTGTATGTTCTCCACTGCAGACCATCTAACTTTTATTAGTGATTTTTCCCCCTGCCCTCTGGAGTGGAAGAAAATAAAACAAAATATTAAAACATTAAGGACTAGAAAATCTGGGAAGAGGGCACAGGGGGTGCTAGACAGTCATTCGAAGGTCAGGTGGACTGGAAGACACAGTCTGGGAAATCAGGGAGACAGACGAGCTGGCTCTGGGTCTGGGAGGACAGGTAGTTTAATGTAACCACACAGCCACGGTGGCTGAGAACTGGCTCAGCTCATCCTTTTAAACGTGTGCTAAAAGACACTGTAAGTTATTTATATATGTGAACTATAAACAATAATCTTATCCGCTAGAGAGTACAGATTATAGTACTACAGAGAGGCCAGGGCATTTGAGGATGGAAAGACAATTTTCAGGAAAAACAATTCAAATTTAATTCATAAAGGTGACAAAATAAAATATCCATGTACATTTAATCTATACATGTACCAAGTCAAAACATAGTTCATTCTGTGATTTTATATATATGTATATACTCCAGGAACACATAAATGTTTTCTTTAGATATTTGAGACAGACAAGGCCTTCTTTTTAAACTGGTTTCTTTGTCTTCCAAGATATTGACAATCCAAGATAATATTTTTGGAGTAGGATGGATAAGACATGGTATAAATACCTTTCTTTGTTTACAAATCTTTCCTTAAAAAAATTTTAAGTAGATGTTCAAATTAAAAAAAAAAAAACAGTTCCCTTTAGGTAATTAAAATAAAATGCTAACTTACATCACCACATTATGGCTTTCTTACCTTGAAATTGAGCAAACCCATGGCAGTCTCCACAAAGGGGATTAAATTCATTGGCTGTTCAAGTTTTCGGCCTTTTAAGTGGAATGAAAATTTGTCTGAAAACTAAAATCAGAAGTGTCATAGGTGATTAGCGACAAGAACAGAAGTTCAACCCCTGAAATGCAGACACAGGAGCAGGGCTGAAGCCTTTGACCTGAGGAACTAATATCCCAGCCTCCTTCATCCACACAAAGGAACAGGGGGGGGGGGGAGCAAAAGCAGAGAAACTAAAGGTAACAAAGTTCCCCGGAAACCAGAAAGTGAAATCTCAAACACCACAATCCGCCTTCCTCCAGAGGAAATAATTTGAGGCCTAGGAGTTAGGAGGGAGGAGAGACTCCCAGGTTTAAATGGTTCCCTGAAAAACATATTTACCCAGGACCCCTCACCCTCTCCTCTCCACTAAATGCAAATGGCAGGCGCGGGAACAAAGCGCAGCTCACTACCTGCCCTTCTGTTTTTGTTTCGAACCCAACACCGACACACGTGCACTGCGCGGCGTTCAGCTGCCTTCTACATATGTAAAATCGGTATCATTCGTTACAGTGCCATTACCCTTTGTTCGGGAGGGTTTTCTTCATAAATTTTTTTTAACCTTACCTAGGAAGACCTTAAAAAGGAAGTTTAATTCTTTGAAGACCAAAGCTTGCCAATTTTTTCCATGAGACCAGTTCACAGCTAGCTCTGTGCTGCCAGTGGGGTAGCCCAAATTCCAAAATCTATCATCTGGAAACATACAAAAGCTCCCTCGCAGATCCCCCACACCCCCCGATTCAAAAAGGGGGGGGTAGCCCCACAATCTAAATTGTAAATCTATTATGTCTATCTAGATCTAATAAGATGTGGGAAGATAAAAAAAAAGAGAGAGAAAGAAAGAAACACAGGTATAATAAAGATATTTTTGTAAATAAAGTTGAAAACATATATATCCATTTAAATTTAAGGAATATTCAGCCATTAATGGATATCAAAGGAAAAGGGAATTTTAATCATCTCTCCATTCAGTCTCAGTTGGGTAAATCATATCTAAGAGATTTGCATAAATATAAACCATCAAAGACTTTTCATCTTCAAAGGGGGTTTCAAGGCCTATAAGCTTTGTACTGTAATCATCACAGGTCACCACCCTGCAGGAATAAGGCTGCTATGGCAACATAAAAAAACTAATGCTTAAGGCTTAGCATAATATTCTCACTAATAGAAAGGAAACTCATTTTAAAAGCTGGCAGCCTATTTACCAGAGGCAGGATTAAAGGTGTTATTTCCCCTTTACCTGCCCCCTCCTTGCCTGTGCGCCCCCCCCTAAAAAAAACCTAATCACTGGGATCTTTAAAAAGCTTTTCAGCGATTTGCAGTAACTTTACAATTAGGCTAAAATAAATCACAGCTTTCAGTAATGAAGAATGATTCCCATTGCTCGCCGCCCCTCCCTCCGAGCCGCGTCACCAGCTCCTCTCCTAGTAACTTTCAGGGAAGGAGCCATCCACGACCACAGCCCAGGCCAAGAGGAGGCTGGCGGGATGGGGCAGCCATACGGTACTAGATGCTGGGAAAATAAAACATAATTTATGTCACAATTAAACTTGAAAACAAGTAGTGAAATATTGGTTGTTTGAGTGTTGAATACATAGCTATGGGTTTTCTTTTCTCATTAAAAAAAAAGAAAAAGAAGAAGAAGAAGAAGAAGAAGAAGAAGAAGAAGAAGAAGAAGAAGAAGAAGAAGAAGAAGAAGAAGAAGAAGAAGAAGAAGAACTCCCAAGGCTACTTGGACCTTTCTCTGTGATAGTCATTATAACTACAAAAATCGTAAAGTTTACAAGTAGGTAAATCTTTTACAAGATATCCCCTGTTCTTAATGAACAAAACCTCTAATGCCTTTTGCTTTATAGCCAATAGGGGCATTTAAAAATAAAATATGCTAGCCCCTCCCCCTTCCCCATCCCCTTCTTTCTTAAAAAATTGCATTAAGTACTGACACAAAAGGTAACTAGTGGAGAAGTTTCAATTAATTTTTTCAAAAGGAGACGATTAAATGTTTCCGGCCTGGTAAAGTGTTCATTTCATCGAGGTGGAGGGGACTGGGGAGGGGGGGTGTGAGGAAAAGAAGGGGGGAAAATTACAAAGAGATTGGGGAGGAGATGAAGTAGCAGGGCTCAGCAATTCTTTCAGTCCCCGCGCACACCCAATAGCCTGTTGGAAGAATGCACACTGTTGGGATTTGTGGGAGAATTGTCCCGCGACAAAAGAGGCAGCGTTACGCTTGTTACAGCCCAATAAGCCGTGCCAGTCAGACAAGAGCCCACACTAACGACAAAAGACGAGCAGGCGATTCTCACACAAAAGAAAACAAGCAAGCCGGTCTTTCAGTTGTGCGTCAGGCTTGGGGTTTTACGCTCCGCACACATACAAACCGAGAGGAAAATAAACAGCCCCGGAGACTTCTGCTAGCTACAAGTCCTATTTCAGAGTGCCCCTCACATCCACGGATCTGAAACAGCGACAGGAAGCTTAGCTCCAGGTTGGGGAGATCTCATCCCCAACTTCAGTGAAAGGCGACGCGGTGTTAATAGGCATTAACGAGTAAACTAACGGGAAGAGGAATTTAGAGTCCTCCATCAGCTTAACACTTGTCTGGATGGGGTCGGAGCCCTCAGGACATTAACAGGCTCTACACCCCTGTCTCTCTATGTAACTAAGGCTAACTTGGTGAGATCTCTGGTTAACTAAGTAAACATAAGCCCTTGATGAGCAGGTCTTTGAGAGAGCTCCAATGTAGAGCGGCCAACACAAATACTATGGCATCTACAAGTGTAACAGTTCTCACTCTTCAGTAGCTACGGTTAAAGAGTAGAGAAGATAAACTGACTTTTCATATCTTATATTCAACTCGTAGATCCCAAATATTATGACTGCAATATGGAACCACTATAAAACTGAGATGTTTTCCATTTTCCTTCCTCCACTTGGGAAGAATACCAACTTTCTAAAGTCAGGCACGTGTGTGTTTTACTCTGAGCTGTGCACGCCTCAATCACGCTGGCCACATTTCAAGTGCTCAGCAGCCATAGTGGCAGGTAATCCACGTATGGACAATAAAGATGAAGCATATCCTGATAGATTAAAAATGTGAGCAGTTGGGGCTGGAGAGATGGCTCAGTGGTTAAGAGCACTTGCTGCTCTTCTGGGGGTCTGGGTTCAATTCCCAGTACCCACAAGGCAGCTCACAACCATCTATAACTTCAGGGGGTCTGACAGCTTCATAGATGCATGCATGTAGGCGCGACACCAAGGATTATTTTAAAAAATACATTGTTAATTTTTTTTAAGTGAGCAGTTTCACCAGGTATGACAGCTACTCACAGTATTGCTATGTCTAGGGGCACAGCCTTCAGGATAATATGAGATATGGCTTTGAATGCCCCACCAGCCATTCAGCCCAGTTATTCCCAAAGGTTCTGCTCCAAGTGGTATAATAAAATGGCATTTTATTCAAGGAACTTGCAGAATAATAGTAACTCCCTATTCAATACCCCCTTCCCGAATCTCACAATTAAAACAATCATAGCATAATTGGGCCCATTTCAAAGTTTTCTTAAGTAATTTGACATGCCAAGCACTTTACATTTCAGGCTTTTATTGGCTGAAAAGTCTGTCGTGAAATGCAAACACACCTGACAGTAATTTAAAAAGGGGCGCACCAGAGAGCTGTTCAGGAAATAATATCTGAGCTAATTAAAACCACGAGTTAAAAGCTTCCTGTTTCTTCCTCCAGTTGCCCTAAGGAGTGACCTTTCCCTTTTCTGCTTTGGGTTCTTTGCTTCGTAAGCGGCTAGAGGTCCTCACTGCCTGTGACGGCTCCAGGAGAGCCTCAGCCAGAACCATCTACGCCATGGCTCTTCCAAGTACAAGCCCTGGCTTCCCAGCAGCAGGGCGGATGGATTCTCAGGCAAGTTGGTGTCGAGGAACTGACTTGTGAGGGCTACGGAGGCAGCTGCAGTGACCACAGATACACTCAGAAAGCAAAAGCAGTTGTTTCCAAAGGAGGGCTCTTCGGGGAAATGCGTTGGGGAAAGTGGGATTCTTGGGGAAGGAGAGAGATTTCCTACCTGCTCTTCACAGTTCCTTCTGCTTCTTTCTTGAGAAAGGATCTCATGTAGCCCAGGCTGGCCTCAAACCTGAGGATGACCTTGAACTTCTGATCTTCCTGTCTCTATCTCCTGAGTGCTGGGGTTATATGGTTTTGTCACCACACCCAATTTTAGGTGATGCTGTGTGGTACCTAACCAGGGCCTTCTGCATGTTAGGCAAGCACTTTACCAATGGAGCTACATCCAGCCCCATGTTCTCCTTGTCTGTTCGAGTCTCTCTCTTTTCTCACGGTACTGACTGAATCCAGGACCTGACACATGACAAGCAACCGCTCTATGCATGAGTTATGGCGTGAGCTGTGTGTGCGCGCATCTCTAAACCGATGCCGTCCCCACCCAATCCTGGAGACGACTCCTTAGCTGGCCCTGAGCCACACAGCAAAGCACAGCTTACCCACTGGATTTCTTCAGGACCTTCCACCTTTGGTAGCATCACACTAGAGGGAAGAACTCGGGCCTGCAGGATGGTCTCCAGGTCAGCCTCAGCCAGACCACTGGACACTGAGTTGATTCTCACACACTTTTCTGTTGGGCCCAGGTCAAAGTCTTCAAGAGTTCTTACTATTCTCAGTCGAGCTTCATCCTGTGAACGTTGAGAAAAATGTACTTAAGTTTACTCTTAACATTCAGGAAGACCCAAGGAACAGTCCCGGAACTCTGGTGGACTCTGATGAGAATAACACCATTTCTGTCCATGAGAAAATGGTAGTGGAAACAAGTCATCCACACTCGTAGGGGAGCGGATGATTTCTACGCATCTTTCCGATGGCTGGAACACAAGGGGGATAGACCATCATGCATAGCATACTGACTGTGTACCTCTGAACGGCAGAGCAGTGTGCTCATTTGTGTACTTTCTAGTGGAGGGGGTAAAATAATTCACTGATTGGGCATGAACTGTGCACTAAGCATAGCTCCAAGTCTTTCTCCCCTTTTCTTCATTTCTAGTCTTAGAAGCCAGATGCCACTGGAGTCGTGGCACCAGCATCCGTCAGTACAGTCGAAATGCAAGCCCTTGCACTTCTGCTCCCCGGGTATCACGGTTTTAAAAAAGGGTTCATCTGTGTTATTATTATTTTTTTGTGTGTGACCAAGTTGCATCTTGACATTCAATTAAGAAGGGTTTACAGGAACCTGACATTCAGTACTTCATGAAAGGTTCTCTCTAATTCAGAGGGAACCAGTAATAGCACTAAGAAATCCCTTCATGGAGTGCTTGACAAACAGACTGTTCTCTTTCATTTGACAGTCTCTGCTGCAGCTATGAGAAGCTGAAAGTCACATTTGAATTATCCCGAGAAAAGCCGTACCAGCTTTGAGCTGGAGGTGAAGACTGTGGGGTGGGCGGGGTGGGGGGAGTGAGAACACGAAGAACTGAGGGCTGGCAATGAGAGAAAGGGAGTTCTTAGGGCCATTCTTTACCGCCAGTTCTAGTTTCAAAAATAAAGTCCTCCATCTTGCCAACAGCCCTCAACAAATTCTCCCTGCCAGAAGGAACACTTATCAAAGGTAGCTTCATTTGGGAAGAATGTTTATTACACCAATAAAACTTTAAAGCATCTAATACTGATGAATGAATTAAAAAAAAGAGGTCCTGGAGCTGCAAGTATGGCTCAGCGGTTAAGAGCACTCAGTACTCTTGCAGAGGACCCAGGTTTAGTTCCCAGAATCCACTTGGTGGCCGCAGAGTGATACAGTCTGCTGGCCTCCATGGCCACTAGTCACAAACATGGTGCATATATATATATATACATATATATATATATATACACATTTACACACATAAGCAAACACTCAAACACATAAAATAAAATTACATAAACCTTTGAAAAAACTGACAATATGCAGCCATTTGAATAGCAACACATATCTTAGAAAAGAGCTCCCCAAAGCATAGAGAACCATGAATTATTTGATGCACGAAGTAAGCACGCCTTTAACCCTAGCACTCAGGAGACAGAGGCAAGCAGATCACGGAGTTCAAGGCCAGCTTGGTCTATACATAGCGAGTTCCATGCTAGCAGAGTTTCATGGTAAGAGCCTACTTAAAACAAAAAGTGATAGAATTATTTAAGCCAACATAAAGTCTAGACCTACAGAGACAACCCAAGACAGTTGATTTAAACTAGACATAAGACAGAATAGAAATCGGAAAGGCTTCCAGTTGGGGCCTGAGCTAAACAGTGATATCAGAGTGTAGCTTAGCGTTATCGGGACAGGGGAAAGAGCACCCAGAATGAATTTAGGATGTCTCTGTGCAAACCTGATTTCCAGAGTGTTGGCTGTGCATACTTAGGCCAAATTTAGGCAAAAGCATGAGAAAGCACATGAGATGATGCAGTCAATAGTGATCCACATGATGGATGGCCATTATTTCATGTTTCAGATTTGTCTTTAATTACATACGTGTGTGTTGTAGGATGTATGTACACACAAATGCCCTAAGAGGTAAGCGGCATCAGACTCCCCTGACGATGGAGTCACAGGCGGGTGTGAACCACACTTGATGAGGGTATGGGGTACCAAACACAAGTCCTCTTCAAGAGAAAGATGAGCTCTTAACCTCTAAGCCCCCTCTCCAGTACCCACCCTTGCCCAAACCGGTTTTTCACAGTGCAGTCCACTTAAGTACTCTATGTACTGTGGCTGCAGAGGCTAACAGGGATGTCCTCATGACCGAGCACAGGAGTCAGCCTGATAGCGGGGCTCGATGGCTGTCTGTTGTAGCAGGAGGGGTTCCTGTGCCTTCAGATCCACAGCCTCAGAGACCCTAAAAAGCCAGGTCATGCTGCACACCTCCGGACAGTTACTAGGTCCGGATAGTTTGGATTTGCAAACATTCTAACTTCCGGATTCTCACCCTATAAAGGACAGCCTTGCATTAGATCTACCGAAACACTGACCGGGAGAATAAAAGGTAATTCTCTGGATTGTTTAAGGGTAAAAATATTATGCCGTCAAGCTAAGAATGGTGGCGCACCCAGGAAGCTGAGGGAGGAGGACATCGGGTTTTAGGCCAGCCTGGTCTATATTACAAGACCCTGTCTTTAAAAAGAAAAGACTGAATCAACATGTCTACCAAACGTGTGCTCCATGACGCAGAATCCCTGGCGACTCTCTAAACTGCTTCTCTGGTGTCCAGCAGAACCGGACCCTTAAGCTGCGTGGTTATTTCCTTTGGATCTGAAGAGAAATGTTTGTTCAGAGCTCACATCCCAAACCTGTTTGTGATTTCTCATCTGAAGTCAGATTGCCATGGTTTCTGCACATTCCGGCTGACTTAGTAAAACTCAATCTTTGTGAAATTGGCTGCAAACGAAGCCTCTAATTCCAGTTTCTAGGCATAATCTGATTAGTCCGTTTCGTGTTATAATAATGAGCAGCCAGCGCTCAGCATTTTCTTCCTCTTTGTTTTTTTTGGCTCAGAATAAACAGGGCGCTCTTCCTGGCACGGTGGTGCACCTTTCCAGAGAGAGAGGACGGCGTCTGAGGTGTATTGCCATACAACACCCTGACTAACAGGCTGCTGATTGCTACAATTTACATCAATGAGGAGCGCATCCCTCTGGTACGTATCCCAAAATATCCAACAACCTTACTGATTTACACCAACCAACAAGTGTGTGGATTTTTTTATTATTATTTTAATGGTAAAATATGTCACTGTGCTAGTAAATACACCCAAGCCATCTGTTGGGCTGTGAGGAAGGCAGCTTCTAAGAACAATTAGTGGTGTGTATTCTGTGGGTTCCGACCACCCGGTCTGTTCGTTTGACTTCTCCGTACCATCTTCATCATTCCTTTCCCTTCGCGCATCTTTTTTCCCACCCCTACTCCTCCCTCCATCCCCATCTTCAGGTGGGTTAATAAGAGGTCTCCAGGCGCCTGTCACACTCCCTCAGTGGGGTGCTCAGAGTGACTTTCAGAAATTTTGAAAGGAACGTGTTTTGCGGTGGAAGAACGCTATGGGGGGAAAGTTGGTCTCAGGGAGACTGAGGAGGGATCACGCTGCAAGGATGAACGTGGCCCTCTCGGAACTGACAAGCTTGAAGGCTGAATGGATCCTGGAAGTGTTCACTTAGTGCCATTGGATCCTCTGTATCATGTCTGACTGCAGATTTCACGTGGCTTTCAGACAAGTTGGGATGGACCAGAATCTTCCAAGGGCCCTGCTCTGAAAAGTGGCCTTCCCAAAGCTCCCGCAACTGGTCGACATTCCGTGTCACAGGCTGTTTGGTGCAGTGGACCAGAGGCTAATAAAACTGTCCTTATGCATAAGCCACAGTACTGTGTGACCGTGTCTGGGCCAGGAACCAAGGCGTGCTATGATTTCAGAGCCTGGATTCCTGTCACCTGGGGAGGAGACACACTCCGGTGACGTAAGGAAGCGGATAAATCAACCATCCCCAAGACTGCGGCCTCCGAAACTAAGGAAGAAAATCTGCGTGCAGTTGGTTCAGTTGGCACCCATTAGAGCTAATAACTAATCATCCTTGCGAGTTTCTAGCTCAGAACGAGGAGATCTGCAAAGAAAACAACATCCGTCCACTTTTACACTCCAGTGGAAGGGGTGGTCCCTCGCGGCGGGGCGGCACAGTCTCGCCATCTGGAGAATAAATCGAGTGTGAAGTACAGTATAGTTTGGGACCAAGCTCCGTGGCGGCCGCCCAGCAGTCCGTTCATTAGCCCCAAACTTCCAGGGATTAGAGGAGCATCAATTCTACTGTCGGATAGGATGAGACAGACAGGGCACGGGATTCAAGACGCATCGAGACATCCAGGAGCCCCCTCGGCTTTATTTATAGAACCACGGAGTATAAACACACTCAAATACATGCTTTAAATAACAGCATCACATCACAGTTCCCTAACATCTGAATTAACACCTTCCCTCTGTGCCCCCTCTCCCCCGCATATGCACAAACTGTGAACATTAAAGTATACCCTTAACAGGGAAGGGGGAAAGCTTGCCTCCACTAGACGCTGAGATCCGGTAATTAAGAGTAGGAAGGACCTCCTAGACTCGGGGGAGATGTACAGCCTTTGTAATTAAAAGGCACATATAAAATTAATATTTTCATTCCATAGAGAGAACTGCTGTGTCTTACATTCCAAAGCACTAGTAAATTTTACTTTTTCTAGACCGACCCCTCTTAACCCATTTCCATTCATCTCACTTGTAGTGATCTTACAGGTGTGGACTCTTCCAAGTTTTGAGCATAAGGCCTTGATAGCAGCTTCTTTATATTAAAATTGTCAAGGTTAAGTTTAGTTTAAAACAAATCAAAAAAAAAAAAACTTTGTGCGAACTGTTCCATTTAAAGGCCTCCTTTCTAGAGACACATAGTAAAAAGCGGAAATGCCCGCAGCACAACATAGGTGTGTGTTGTATCAGGAGTCCATACTGCGTTTCTTTATAAACATACAGAATAAGAGGGATGTAGTAACCGAATTGAAAAGCATGTTCCTCGATTCTTGCAAACTGGCAGTGTGTTTCACGAGGCAAGAGACAGTGTGGGCATTTAATAAGGCATTAATTGTACAAAATAATGAATTTTGTTCCGACTTTTCAGAGATGCACAG